GATGTGATATGTAAGTTACACATTAATTACTATTGACCTTATAGTGGATGTGATACGTAAGTTACACATTAATTACTATTGACCTTTTCGTGGATGTGATATGTAAGTTACACATTAATTACTATTGACCTTATAGTGGATGTGATATGTAAGTTACAAAGTAATTACTATTGACCTTATAGTGGATGTGATATGTAAGTTACAGATTAATTACTATTGACCTTACAGTGGATGTGATATGTAAGTTACAGGGTAATTACTATTGACCTTACAGTGGATGTGATATGTAAGTTACAGAGTAATTACTGTTGACCTTACAGTGGATGTGATATGTAAATTATAGATTAATTACTATTGACCTTACAGTGGATGTGATTATTTAAATTACAGATTAATTACTATTGACCTTATAGTGGATGTGATATGTAAATTACAGATTAATTACTATTGACCTTACAGTGGATGTGATGTGTAAGTTATAGAGTAATTACTATTGATCTTATAGTGGATGTGATATGTAAGTTACAGAGTAATTACTATTGACCTTACAGTGGATGTGGTATGTAAGTTACAGAGTAATTACTATTGACCTTACAGTGGATGTGATATGTAAGTTACAGATTAATTACTATTGACCTTACAGTGGATGTGATATGTAAGTTACAGATTAATTACTATTGACCTTACAGTGGATGTGATATGTAAGTTACAGAGTAATTACTATTGACCTTACAGTGGATGTGATGTGTAAGTTACACATTAATTACTATTGACCTTATAGTGGATGTGATACGTAAGTTACAGAGTAATTACTATTGACCTTACAGTGGATGTGATATGTAAGTTACACATTAATTACTATTGATCTTTGTAAACGTTGAATAGACAACCCGTCCCTGAAAAATACACGGGAATCACATTGTGTCATACACATTAAGAACCGAAAACATTTCTCTCGGTAGTCTTCCAAACTAACAGACTATCTCCAACCCGAACCAGTAATGATTCCTTCATAATGTTAAAGCTTGATATTTGTAGTAATTTTCAACAATTTAAATAAATTTATCATAAAGAAGTTTCTTAATGGATTTTCACTGACTATAAATATGATTAGTTTTATAAGTAACACTAACCGAAAACAAGATACGTTAATTTTTCTTATCTATCTAGATAAACCAGAAATTAGAAAAATTGAACCTTATCCATACGTGTCCCTTGCACTCTACAGTTCTACACAGCTGATCTGCGAAGCTGCAGCTAATCCAGAGCCACTGTAAGTGTTAATTTAATTATTCCAACCATCTACATTAATTCACGTACTTCTGTAAAACTTAACTTGAGAAATACAAAATATTTTTAATTCTACTGTGTAGTGTTTGGATTAATTCACGTACTTCTGTAAAACTTAACTTGAGAAATACAAAATATTTTTAATTCTACTGTGTAGTGTTTGGATTAATTCACGTACTTCTGTAAAACTTAACTTGAGAAATACAAAATATTTTTAATTCTACTGTGTAGTGTTTGCCGTTGGAGGCTCGTGTATCAGAGCTAAGAGCATGCAGAATCAACTAAGTTATTATGTATGTACAGATAAAATTTCTAGGTTTGTTTTTTAATACTGAAAATTTCCTTACGTCACAAGTGTCAAATATTCCTAAAAGAATTGAAATATTTCAAAAGTTCTAGGAATTAGTTACTAGTATAGAGAATATAAACTTGGACATAGAATGTTTTAATAGTTTCGAAAACTGTTACATACAAAATTATTTGTGGACTTTTATAAATTCTTTAAATATACTTACTTGTTCATGGTAAACTGTGTGTACAAAATGGATTTATTAAACAGTTTTTATGTCCAAGGGCCTTTTGAAAATATAACAACTTGCTGGTGGTTTTTCTGCATGGAAACTGGGGGGATGATAATGTACATTTGTTGTTTGAAAATAAAATAAATTTTTGAGGGTTTTTCTGCATGGAATTATCGATGATAAATGTTCGTTGCTAAAACCTATGCTAGAGAAAACTTGGGGGGCGATCCATGTTCATTATGTAGAAGTTAAATGATATTTCATGTTTCATCATGCTTCAGTAAAGTGTAAGTGAATATTAGGCTTTATCACCTATCAAACAACAAAAACCTTCAGGATGATCCATTCTTGCTCTGAAAGCTTATGGTTTGTGTTGTCATTAATCTTCATCGCAGTCATTGGCATCTTCGAAAGGATCACAATAATCATCTTTTACAATTTAAATGGAAAATATTCATAATTTTTTTCAGATATACCTGGCTTCAGAAACTTCCTGGAGAAATGCAGGCGTGGCAAGAGCGAGGAAACGATGCACGTCTTATTATAACAAACATCACGTATAGCTTTCAAGGTCGATACATCTGTGAAGCAAGGAATTACATCAAGGGAATAGAATATAAAGTTCAGTCTGAAGAGATTAAACTGGATGTCACTGGTGAGTTTTCTATGTTACTAGAACATGAACTTTACTGGGGATATTCGTAATAGGAAATACTTCTGAGGATCAGAATATAATAAAACATTCTACACTTAGTTAAATAACAATATTGCCGAACATGAGAGGATACTTTGGATCTCAAAGCATGAAACTTGGATGTAATGTCATATTTATTAAAAATGTTAACCTGTAAGGAAACTATTTTCACTGTTCATGCTCTTAATTTTGCTTTGAAACAGTCTTTTAAAAAAAAAGTTGATTAATTTCAATTAGTATGTAAGTGTGTTTATTTTATTAGCACATATACTTTTAAACATTTTTACCTTGTTTGAAAACCATAGCAGGTAATGTACTGTGTATAATCTTATCATGAGTTGTTGTTTTAAAGAAAGAAGTTAAAATATAATATTTTACATCACTTTCCTCTGATACAATCTTGTATTTATTATATTTAAACTACTGTGTGTGACATCAGGGCGTCCTCAAGTTATTACCGACATGACCGTAACGAAGGATACTGTGGTTGTAGAGAAGAATGAAGATGCCACCATCAGTGTTGAGTTCTGTTCTGATCCTAAACCCGATCGAGTGTTCTGGGAATGGGGTAGTCTAAAACTGGACACCGGTTCAGAACTGGCCCGATATTCGGCAGAAGAATATATGGAAGTAAGCTTTACATTTTTTTTTTGTTTTCAAGTGGGTGTTTTAAGTAAATGAAGTCTGGAAATAAGACTTTCAAAACATCATCTCTTTAATCCTTGCCTCTTTCACCTTTGTTATAATCTCCATCAAGAGAACACTGCTCAAACCAACTATAAAAGTATGTACCCTTTAAAATTAAGTCATTGTACGTATAGAGTGAAAACATGTATAATGTTAGACGGGCGGTTAAATCGGACAAAGACGTACGTTTATATAAAATTAAGTCGTATGTATAGAGTGAAAACATGTATAATGTTAGACGGGCGGTTAAATCAGACAAAGATGTACGTTGATTTAAAATTAAGTCAACATACGTATAGAGTGAAAACATGTATAATGTTAGACGGGCGGTTAAATCGGACAAAGACGTACGTTACATCATTTCCTTACAAGATTTAATTCCTCACTACAGATCAGAGACCGAGATGACTGTTATGAAGCGAGACTGATTATAAGAAACGTTGAAGGCAGTGATTCGAGGAAATACACAATTCACATAGTGAACTTCAAAGGTGAAGAAGACTACGGTGTAACACTCAAAGTGAGAGGTATTATACGCCTTGAAATAAAAATATCATTAAGTACAGTTTTATGATGATGAAATGTGGTTAAATTCAAAGAAAAATGTTCAGTAAATAAATAAGTAATTCATGAAAATAAAACATAATAAATCCAAGTACTTGTATCATCCCAAAGAATACTCAATGCAATGAAATAGTTTGCTTCGGTTGCATAACTACAATACCCCCCCCCCCCCCAACCGAGAAGAAATCTCGAAATCAAGAACTACAGGCCTTCTCTGACTGACCTCCTCCATGGTTATCCACTCACCAACTAAAACACTCCCACTGAATTCAAAATAAAATTACATATTTGTCCAAAATTAAACATCTGGGGGGTATGGTTGTTCCCACAATTCTCCTTATTACTCCCTTCCTACAAACTAAATTCCTATCAGGTTTAAATAAAAGGGTATTAGTACAAACTGTTTTCTTGGAAGTTTTATATGGCTAGTTTAAGTACTGAAATGTTTTCATTTATACAACTTATACTAGTTTACAATTTTTGTTTGTTGTATCTTTTAATAGATCTCATTAGTCCATTTGAAAAAAAAAAGTTATTTTGAGACATTGGTATTTGAAAGTGTCTTTTTTTTTACTACAAGTGATCTGCAGTATTCAGAATAATGTTTGAGATAGATGTATAGTAGAGGTATTATGTTTGACAACTGAATGGCTGTTAAACAGCTTTTATTTAAAGAGGTAATGTTTGAGATAGATGTATAGTAGAGGTATTATGTTTGACAACTGAATAGCTGTTAAACAGCTTTTATTTAAAGAGGTAATGTTTGACAACTGAATGGCTGTTAAACAGCTTTTATTTAGAGGTAATGTTTGACAACTGAATGGCTGTTAAACAGCTTTTATTTAGAGGTAATGTTTGAGATAGATGTATAGTAGAGGTAATGTTTGACAACTGAATGGCTGTTAAACAACTTTTATTTAAAGAGGTAATGTTTGAGATAGATGTATAGTAGAGGTAATGTTTGACAACTGAATGGCTGTTAAACAGCTTTTATTTAAAGAGGTAATGTTTGAGATAGATGTATAGTAGAGGTATTATGTTTGACAACTGAATGGCTGGTGAACAGCTTTTATTTAAAGAGGTAATGTTTGAGATAGATGTATAG